TACGCTGACCCTCCTTGCTCTGCTTTCCTCTGCTTTGCCTCACGCTGCTCTGCCTTACGCTGCCCTGCCAATCTTTGCCTTACGCTGACCCTCCTTACTCTGCTTTGCCTTGCTCTGCATTACCTTGCGCTGTCTCCTGATTTGAGCTGCCCTGCCCTGCCTTACGCTGCCACTCTCTGCTGTGCAACGTCCAGCTCTGCCTTAAGCTGCCCTGCTTCACGCTGACCTACCCATACTTGCCTCGTGCTGCCCATACTTGCCTCGTGCTGCCCTACCTTGCCTTGTGCTGCCCTGCCTTGCCGTACGTTGCCTCGCCGTGCGCTGCCTCGCCGTGCGCTGACTTGTCCCTCCTTGTCTTAGGCTGCCCCTCCTTGCTCTGCTCTCCCCTGCTTTGTCTCACGCTGCTCTGTCTTACACTGCCCTGCCAATCTTTGCCTTACGCTGACCCTCCTTGCTCTGCGCCGCCCTGCTTTGCCATACCATTCTCTACCTTAAGCTGCCCTAATTATCCTTGCCTTGCCATGCTTTGCCTTGCCTTGCCTTGCCGTACCTTGGCTCACTCTGCGCTGCCCTGCGCCTCCATGACTAGCGCCGCGCTGCTCTACGCTCAAAACTAAGGGAAAATTTGTCTGAACAATTGAACTTCGCCTGAATAAAGACCTTAAGTTGAAATTCATCCAATTCTTGGGTTGAAAAAAGCTTCTAGGTTTTTCATGCTTTTCGCTTAATCATGGCTTTTAATGGCTTTTGTTAATCATTGTCCCCCCCATAAAAATTGCTTGAAACTTGTCCGGAAAAATCATATAAGCACTGTACTGATTGTGTAACCCATCCCAAAAAGTAAAATGCCTTTAATTTGCTTCTTTCTATGTTTGTTAAACTTTAAAACAGAAATTGTTATCTTAAGATATTTTGCTTTAATTGGCAATATCTTTCAAAACATAGTATATTTATCAAAACTTCAAATTATAAATAGCATAAAATGAAACCTGTAATGCAAAAAACATTTGTATTACTAATGAAAACATTGTACCCCTCATTATATTCACGGAGTCTGCATTATTTTTAAAGCTTGGAAAGTAATGTGGTAACTTAGCATTTTTTTCAATGTTTTTGAAGGGTTTTTGTTTGCTCATTTGAATTAAATTGCACCATCAACGTTTTTTAGAATTTTTTTTTTTGAAAAATATACTTTTATCAATCCTTATATTTGACAGAAGCCATATTTTGTCACAAGCTAGCTTTGACTTATTGACATTGTCAAAAAACAATCAGCTCGCAGTTTTGAGATCATGCGTCAATCAGTGTATTATAACTAATCATAACGAGTTCTTCTTCAGTTACAGCTAACGTTTGATAATTAGTGAGTTTTTAAAGTCAATCCAAAGTATTATTCCAATATTGTCTGAAACTTTTATTATCGTACCATTCAGTGTTGCAAAACAGTTTTAGATGCTGAAAATTGTAATATATAGCGCCAATTGAAAAATTTTTGTTAGTTTTATTTAGGCAAATTGTTTAGTGAGCTTTTCTTCAAAAACAAATCTCACCAGCAGCGTTTTTTAGGTTTTAAATGAAGAGTTATCAGTTAATAAAAAAATCAATAAAAAATCACGTTTTCATTTCTACCTAGGGTTAACCGTATGTGAATTTTTTCCGAGTCAGTCGAAAATGCTGTTCTATGATCACTTAATTTTTAAACGATTGCCTCCCTCAGTGTAGCCAAACTTTTGCGCTCTCCTCAAATTTTTTAATGCGGCAATCTTATACTCCAATAAAGCGCCAATCTGAAAATTTAGTTTTCAAAAATTTGTTCAAAAATAATTCCGGAAAAAATGAAGAAAAAAAAACTCTTAGCAAGCACATTACACAATTGCTACCTATATTTGGCAAAATCAAAGTTTTATATGCCATCTGAAACTATTTTCTGAGAATTGAGAAAAAAAGTATTGTTCCCCTCACTGCACCCACGGCATCTGCGCTACCCTCGATATTTGCAATCGCGTTCAGACAATTCGGCCACAGACAATTCAGCCAATTTCAAATTCAGACAATTCAGTCAAAATGAGTGAGACAATTCGGCCAAAGACTATTCAGACAGTTTTAAAGTTTTAAAACGTGCGCGCAAAAACTTTTCACATGCGGCAAAACATCAAAGCTTTCATTAGACGACTTATAAGTAATTCCTTTCAAATGCACATAAAACAATTAAAATTAACAGAACCAAAAATGCCTAAGCATAATAAAACTTTATACAACTCATTATGTTTCCAATTTTGGAATAATAGTTAAGCAAAAATCGAACTCTACAAAAAACTGCGCAATACTTAAAAGTTAACCAATTTACACGAAAGCAGACCCGAAATAGGGAATATACAGGCGGTCAAAAAGGATATCAGTTAAAGGGCTGACCACCCCTACCACGTACTGGCCACACAGTTACGCTGATATTCTTATCATGCCTTAGGCGGGGGAGGGTGCAACCGCCTATCAGGTAATTTGGGTAGTTGATTGAAACTAATTTTATACTTAAACTTTTTTGAAAGATAAACTAATTGCGATTAAAATATTGACCAACCAGAAACCAGTACCGCGTTTAGCGCCTACTTTTTGCAGTTAAATGGTCCATTGACACACTTAACATTGATTAATTTTCATTATCAAGTAGCTTGAACAACTGGTTGATTAGTATCCGAATCATTCTCATTCATTCACATTTAGCAAAAGTTGACGTTAAATGGAATTCGTAATATCTGAACGCGGAAAAAAACATCTTTGTCTCGACGATTATAGATACCGTGAAAAAAACCAACTTAAGAACGGGCTCATTAAATGGCAATGTACATTTGGAAATTGTAGAGCAGTGGGTTATTTGGACGAACAGCAAGAATTTACCTTAAAAACCGAGCACGCTCATTTACCGAGCCCCTCAAAAATTCAAGCCAAGAAATTTGCTAATGAAGTTCGAGAAAAAGCCGCAAACACCGGTAACGCTCCCCGACAGATTGTTTTCAACGCCCAAATTGACCTGCCTCTTTATGCAGCGCCCACAATACCGAGTTACTCAACATCCCTTCGAAGTATAAACCGAATCAGGCAGCAAGCTTTGGAAACAATGCCATAACCAAAAAACCTTGAGAGCGTCGACGAAATTCCTGAAGCAAATGATAAACTCGTTCAAAACGCAAAAAACTACAATCGATACCATATACAGAAGTATTTAAAACTGTGTACCTTCAATGTACATATTTCGTAAAACTTTATGCATAGCAAGTTTGTTTTTCTTCGAAATTTGTTATTTGATGTTTTACATTTCTTTGGTAAACTGTTGAAAGCCTTCTGACTCTAATCAAATTAGAAAAGTTTTATTGTTCCCTTTTATCTTGTCTCTTTAATCTAAATTGGCCGAATTGTCTTTGGCTGAATTGTCTGAGTTTTTTTGTCTGTATTTTAAATCGGCTGAATTGTCTGTGGCTGAATTGTCTCTGCGCCATTTGCAATACTGCGTCAGTTTTATTTTCTGATGCATATACGCTTTTTTCGCTACACTGCAAAAATAATTTGTATCACCAAGTTTATCAAAACTACTGTAAACAATCACTAGGTTCTTTGCAAGCTTTTTTTGACAGTAAGTCAAAAATTGAATTCCGTGAGCTTCTAAAAAATTGAAAACTTCATTACTTACTGTAGCCAAGGAATCTGTCCATTTCGCGTCACCAGGCGCGAAAAGGACAGATTCCTTGGCTACAGTAAAAAATGAAATTTTCTATTTTTCAGAAACTCACGGAATTCAATTTTTGACATACTGTCAAAAAAGCTTAAGGCACCAACCTTTTATTTTTGGCACTGGGTTGACATGTTTTTGTATCGCTTCGCTAGAACAGAAATAATATGCAACAACAGCAATTTTGAAAACTTTAGAAACCTTACTAATCTTGCCCAGTTTGCAGCCCGGTCGAGGGTGTTCGACTTATGTTTCGATTGACTCAAAAAAAAAAGCTATGTTTTGACCGACTCGACGCAAACTGGCTATGTTTCGACCAATTCGACCCAAACTAGCTATGTTTCGACCGACTCAACCCAAACTGGTTACGTTTCGACCGACTCGACAGAAGTAAAAAAAAGCTTTGACTGTGTTCCACCCCAGCGTGCTACGCTTCAACTCCATCTATATGATGTATGCAATTCAAAAATTGATCAACCTTGGTGTTTTTCACCAACAACAACAAAATAAGTTGCTTTTTTGTTCTGACCTAGTTTAAACTTCCCTTTTGGTTATTCAGGTTTTTCAATTTGGCTGTGTGAAAAATCTGAAATCGCTTCTGAACATCTGAATAAATCTGAACATCGCTTCTCGGACTTTAGTCTAAGATCATCTTTGGTCCAATTTTTAAGTTCGACTTTGTTTCAAAACTGTGTTCGATCAAGCTTCGGCCACATTTTGTGCTCCATGTTTCGGCCACGCATTAATATCGACTTATTTTTTGACAATGTTTTGACCACACTTTGTGTTCGACTTTGTCCGCGACTATGTTTTGACCATACTTTGTGTTCGAATTTGCATTCAACTTGGTGTTCGACCATGAATCGAAATCGTGTTCGACTATGTTTCGACCATTTTTTCGACTATGATTCAAAATTGTGTTCGATCGAATGGGCTGTTTTCGACTACAGAATTGGGGTTGGAAAACATCAATATGTTTGATCGAATTCGGTCGAAACATAAGTCGAACAACTCAACCCGGGAGTCCATTTGCGGAAGCGAGAAAAAAAAGTTCCAGTTTTTCAAAACCTTTTGCTCAAGAAAACAAGAAATAAAAGCTATCATAAAAGGCCCGAGTTAGCGAGCGATCTCCTTTTAGAACAATTTAGGAGGTAGATCGTCACTTGGTTAAAGGCATTGCATTCTTTTTTCAGCCAATCAGAGCTCAGCTTTTCGCTTGTTCACTAACTGCTTGCTTTCTTTTGCCTTTTATCTGTAGGGGGTCATCGTATCCTTAGTTTAGGGGTAAGCTGTTCACATAATCCCTATTATTACCCTCATTTCCAAGGGGTCTAATTTCCAAGAAAATTTATCTGAGTTTTGATCTCAAAAATTCTCATCAAAAGATTATAATATATTTTTAGAACCAAAACCCTTTAACTTGATAAGCGTTCCTCAAATAATCTGCATTTGATCAAAACATAATTTGCTCTGATGTCTAGCTTCATACTTCGTTGAGATTATTTTTACCTAGTCTTTTTATTAACAACCGCAAAATTGCCTCTCTCTGCTAATATGACCAATTTTTCTAATCCTCACTTTATTTCTGAAACCGCTTTGGTTCGCTATTGCTTCTATTAGAATAATCGCTACCACGATTTTCACTTTAATTTTCCCAATACGCCTGTTAATACTTTGCATCAACTGGGAGACCATTTCCCAATCTAGCAAAATAGTTGAAAGCTATTAACTCTCGCTACTCGAGAAAATTACCTCGAGATTTGCATAAAATATCAGAGTGTTTCAGGGACATTTTTTTGCTAATGATCACAACAAAATTCTTTGGTGCGATATTGCAAAAAAAAAATAATTGAAACAATTTCAAAAAGCAAAACTCTTTGTTGTAATTTGAAATCAATAAGCAATCAAAACAAAACTCTACAGAAAACAACAGTTATAAAGTTTCACCCGAATTTTACCATTTTTGTAGTTCAGTCTTCAAAAAAGTTCAATCTTTGAATCTTTATCGCCTGCTTGTTTTTATATTTGAAATCACTGCTTTTATTAGGCGTGGTAATCTTCTGAACTTCCAAATCAAAAAGTACCAAAATTCGGCAAAAACATGCCTCCCGTGAAATCAAAAACAGTGCAAGAATCCCGTCCTCCAATGAACCGAAATCCCAAGAAGCAGAACTCCACTTCCTGTGCATCTGTTAAAAAACACGGTCGGCTAGAGAAGCAGGCTTCGATCAATGAGAGCGACAAATTAGTAGACCGCAACAAGAGACCCAAAACGGAGTGCAGTCTGGAAGTGCCAGTGAGTTCGGCCAGAAGGTACTCTTTGCCGACTGCTCAGATAATCGAAGAGGCAAAGGAAAACGCGTACTTGAAAAAAGCACAAAAGTATGGGTGCAACTCCGACTCAAGGTACTCATTAAATTATTTCTGCATTCGAAAGAGGATTAGGGTGGGGTGGGGGAGGGGAGTGCTTTTTTTCAGGGATGCGACTCTCTCACCGCCGTAAGGAAGCTTTGCATTATTTTTTTACCCTCATTTTACCGACCGATTCAAAAAAAACTTTTATAGGTGAAATTTTTTTGTCTAGAAGTCCACGTCGAAGAAATGCATTTTGTTTCAAAATCCGGATCTACCTAACAATTGACCCCCCTTTTTTTCAAGAAAGGGGGGGGGGCAATTGTTAAGTAGATTAAAATGACGCATTTTCGACCAATCAGAATGCAGCAAATTTCTAATTCTCAATAGAAAGCTCATTGCTAATTTACTGCTTTTATTAATAGGGGTGGCAATTCTTAAGTATATACCAAAGGGGGGAGGGCAATTGTTAAGTAGATCCCGAAATCCTCCAAAAACGACGGCGTTTTCTATTTGTTTTTTTTTTCAAAGAGGAAATGAAATAAATGAAAAAAAAAATTGATTTTCATCAATTTTTTGAAAACTCATCTCCAAAAACCTTCAAACGGTCCCTGTATACATTAACGGCGCTGCCTATTTCAGACATCAAAGGTTCTTGCGAGAAAAAATAATGAAACAAAAATTGAATAAACATTTTTTATATTTTGGTGTGTTGTTCCTTCATAATTGACAATAAAAACAATTTGACGAGTTTGCCAGAAAAAACTCCTAATCCAGGGCTCGAAAAGCAAGCAGCCCAGCCATTCTAAATTAACTTTTGCCATTTTTAAAATAGCTTATCTGGGCTATTTTATTTAGTCAATTAATTTGTTGCGTTTTTTGAAGACGGGGAAGTCAAGCACTTCTGTCCAACAGACAGTTAAATAGTAACTACAGCAGCAGGTGAGCCAAAACACTAACGAGTATTAATCCGAATGGTAGAAAAATTAGATAATTGAATGATTAAAAAACGTTATATGCCAAAAGTACCGAACATTTTGATTACATGTTTGTTGTAGTTGTTAAAGATTGATGTTTCGACTTTCGGAAAGGTGACGGAGTATATATGCTTGGGGTCGCATACTTGTTATTCAAACTAGTTTTAATCCGACTGGTCAAAAAATTAGATGAATGATTTTAAAAATTACATGTTTGCTCTTGTTGTTAATCTTGATGTTTCAACTTTCGAAAACGTGACGGATGTTATTCTTGGGTTAGCATACTTTTATTCAAATCCATTTTGGCAATCTTTGTAATAGTTTTTCAGCTTAAAAGTTTATTACCAGTGAATAGATGTTGACTCTTCGATTTCACAATCGAAAAACAATTTAGCTGAGATCAATTTTGATAAAAATTGTGGGAGGGTAAGGGGCTAGGAAAATAGACGACAAGCAAATTAGATGACCGTAAAATAACTGATTTTAGACAATAATTATTTGTGATTTTAGACAATAAAAAATGGGCTAACAAATTTTTCGCATAGGTTGAAGTTACACAAAAACAAAAAGAGTATATTGTAGCAGAACTGATCCTTTTTTTGTATATTATTTTTTTAAAACTTAGATCGAACATGTAGACCTATTTTCAAATGCATAAAATTATTCAATACGATTACGCTACAACTCGCAACAAAAGACAACGCGTTAAAAAAGACAATTCGCAAAAATTAAGGAAAACGACAACTCGCAAAATTTGAAAAATTATTTTTCACTTCAGAACTTCGATTTAAGGTCGAGAAGGGGCGGATTTAGGATTTTCTCGAGGGGGGGGGGGGGGAATTTCAAAAAAAAATTCGAAATTGTTCGAAAATTTTATCGACCTTTTATTTTTTTTATGTCGACCGAATTGATTTTTCGAGCTCTCCCTAAGCACGTTTTGGTGCCTGTTTTGGGCAAATTTTCTGCGCCGCAGGCAAAATTTTGAAAAAATAGTCCAAAAAAAGCGTTCTTATGCACTTTTTGGAAAATGTTGACCAAAAAATCGCGTTCATTTGGCTCGCGCTCCCCCCTCAAAATTAGTATATTTTGGGGGTCTTATGCACATAACGGCCCAAAATCAAATTTTCTACATCGTAAGCTGGAAATTATGCGATCGAATTTGATTGGGTAATTTTAGCCAATCAAATTCAAGTTAGACGGTCAGGGATTCCGATCAACCTTTCCAGCAGATAAAATTATTAGCCGAAATTTCGGAATAGATGGAACTTTGTAAAATAATCAAATTAATTTTGAGTTTCTTGTGAAACCTTGCCCAGACAAGAAAAACTTCAAAAAATGGCTTGACAAAACAAAAATTCATTTTTTTTGTGTCGTTTCGGCTAATAATTTTATCTGCTTGAAATGGCAAAGTTATTTCATTTGAAATGGCAAAAAATGTCGATGGAACTTGCTGGCTAATTAGCCAATCAAATTCACCTTAATTTCAGTTCAAGAGATGTAGAAATGATAATTTTGGGCCGTTTAGTGTATAAGATCCTATTTTGGCGCCAAAGGCGCCTTTAGAAAAGTTTTAGGGTCGGTCGGCCAAAAATGGATTTCTTAAAAAGTACCAAAGGTGGGACCCTTAGGGTCGGCAGGGGGTCGAATCCATGAGGGAAAGGGGCGTCGGCCCCCCTCCCCCGCCCCCTTCCTTAATCCGCCCCTGAGGTCGAGGGTGGGCGCTTCGCGGCGATAACCGGCTCCAAGTTCATATGAAGTCATACCCTCTGTTGGCAAGCTCGCGAGAACTTCGAGCGACTGCGTCGGTGAAACTATTGCGAGTTGTCTTTTGTTGCGAGTTTTACGATACAACTCTGACATTGAATAATTGCTTTATGGGTTGACAACTAGTGTTTACTCAGTCAAAATTTAATTTAAGCCGGTAAACATTTTTCAAGCACGCAAGTTATCGTCTACTATCAGCTGCTTTCTGATGGTCTAAATTGAGTTACTTTCTGATGGTCTAATTTGCTTGTTCCATTCCCTAACCAAATTGTCGGGGTTTGAAAGCAGTATTTTTTGCAATAATCTTGGATGTTTTCAGTTGCGCTTTTAAGGATTTCCCTGGCCGGATTTTCATCGATAAACATCAATTCTTTTGAAATTTTGTCGTTTTCTCTATTTTTTCAAAAATTATCGCTTGTAATCAATCTAAAGAGGGGGGTTAAAAATATTTTTGTTCTAAGTAATCAGTTTCAATTTTTGTTTATTATGATAGAATATTTCAAGTTTTTTTAACATTTTTTTTGAAATATGATCTAACTGAAATTATTATAATCCATTTTAGTCAAACAACTTAATTTAAACAATTTTTGATGTATTTTTATGTGCTATTTTTTATTAGTTCACAATCATTTCAAATTTTAGTCGGTTATTTGCTTCTACACTCAATTTCACTCTTTTTCTGCACAGGTTTTCATTTTCATTTTTTCCCTCAATTGCATTCTTTTAACATTTTTTGTCTGGAACTTTAGGGTCGTTGAAGGCGAGGGAGGCTTTTCGAATGCGACGGTCAGGGAAAAGGTAGCTTTAAAAAGTAGCCACATTTTGATCGGTAGATATCTGCTCAAAGCATTAAATCGCGAAATCAATATCTTTTTGAACTGCAGAGTACTGACTAATCGCCATCCAGAGTTTTTGCATCAAGGGCAGTTATTCTGATTAAATACATGTAATCTAAAGTCTCAATTAGCCCAAAGTTTCTGACCAGGGAAGAATTTCTGTGGGACAAAACTCTGCAAGAAAAATTCCGTTCTGGTATTTGAAAAATTTAAAAATAGAGTGAATTCAACGCTGCTGAAATTAACGCTGCTATTTCAACCAGCAATGAGTTTGAAAAATCTCTGATAGTCAGATTGATCGTTTTTCAATTGAGATACCGGACAGTTGAACGAACTCAAATTACATCTGTTTTCTCGCGATATTTCCAAGTTTTTTAAGTTAGAGACAGTTTTGGTCGGCGCAAAACTTCAAACCAGAATCAAGGAAAAATTTGGATTATTTTAATTAACCGGTTTGTGTTCAATGATTAGATATGCATGTTCTTCGGTTTACTAATTCATGTCTGGGTTAAATAGCGATAAACAGACAATTTTATGAGCGGTAATTTTTTCTCAAATAGTGATTGTAGTAAAACAAAAGGTTCTGAGCACTCGTAAGACAACAGTTTTCATCATGACTTTTCTCCAAATTTTTCTGGTACTTGTCTGAAAAAAAAAGAAAAAAGAAAAGTATATTGTCTGTTTTTTATTTGTATCAACTCAGTCTGGTTGAATTACTTTCTACGGTCATATTTGATCATCAATTTTTTCAAACTTGCATATTTTGAATAAAAATGATCTACTTTTGGTTCAGACGCTCTCAAAACTTTCTGCTCAACTGATGTGCAGGTTCTAGACTTTAACTTTAACGAATTATCTTGTAAAAGTGGCAAAAAAACAAACTGTCTTCAGCACTAGATCAGGAAATCCAGCAGTACAATGCATTAAACAAACAAGATACAACCAGTCCAGTTTTCAAAAAATCTCAAGTATCGATTTTAAGGGGGAAAAACTAAACTTCGCGACACTTAGCATCCTACTTAACCAGGTTGATTGGATGGACTAATGCCGCCGTTCAATGCCTACATCAAATAGAAAGTTATTCATCCGGACAATAAAAACCTGTTTAAAAATATTGTAGCAATTGAAGTCCAGATGTTAGTTATTCTATGGATATTCTTTTCATTTTATGTAGATTATAGATTCTATATTGTGCAACTCATGAATTAGTAAAATTGAAAAAAAAAAATGCTCAAGCTAATATTAAATGTTTGAAAAATTTTGATCTTTTCTACAAGATAATTTATAAGTTTCAAAAACTATCAGAATCATGAAAAGACAAGCAAAAGACCTTTTTATAATATTTCCTGGTGAAAGACAAAATCGATTTCCTTAGTTCTTAAAAACTGCAAATGGGCCCAAATTGTCAACGTATTAGATTTACAAAATGGTTTGAACGCAAAAAAAAAGTAATTTTTAATTGTTTAAGAAAAAATAAATTTTCAAAAACTATTTCCAGGAGAGGAAGTCGTTGCGTGGACACTAAACATGGCAGCAAAGGTGAACTAAATGGGGGCACCACTACCCCCACGGGACTCCTCTCGAACCAGACCCTCCTAGTACCCAGTACAGCAGGCAGACGTCTCTCCTCCCCCAACCTCGCCCCCATGTCCAACAGCAGCAGCAGCAGGAGGGGCAGTTTCGTCGCCACGCTCGGATTGGTTGGCTTAATTTTGAAATTCAAAATAAGATATTTCCTGACTCCTCTGAAGCGTCACAACACAACAAACAACAAACAAAGAAGCCAAAAAAGAGCACGCAACTGCTGTGAAAGTGGCGCAAAACTTTCCGATCACTATTGTTTCTGGGGAAAAAAAGAGAAATTGAGTTTAAAAAAATTGCGGAGAAAAAACAATAAATAGCTTTATTCACAAATAAAAAAAACAAGCAGTTTTTTAAAATTTTTATAGCTCAAAGTATTCAGCATAAAGTTGTGTCTAATATCTTAGTTATAACAAAGTACTCTTCAACCCTCTTTACCAGGGGTTCGTTTTTCAGATTTTTTTCTAATTGAAATTTTTTTTTCAGGTTTTTCACTTCCCAGTTTTTTCTTCTATTTTTTTTGTAGATTTGATGATTTTAATTTTCTAAAATGTCGATCTTAATAAAATTCATTTTTAGACTTTTCTGACCGTCAACTTTTCTGACTTGACAGAATAATTTTGCTCATTTTCACAAATTTCGGTTTTATAGCTGACGTTTTATCAGCGTTTTTTAACAAAATTTGAACGATTTTCGTGCCCTTATAATTTTTTTTAAAAATCATTTCATTCATTGAAACCTTTATCGAGCGTCAACGGTGATTAAATCCACCTCACAGACCACACTAAAAAGAGGCAAGCTATTTGGTTCAATTGATATGTTATTAGATGTGAAATGAATAACATTGTACTTAAAAATCATTTAAAGACGATTTGTTAAAGTCTGAAAATAATTGAATTTTCCAGAATATTTTCTTTTTGATATTTTTTTATGATTAAAAACAATTAACATTGTTTTGCTTTTATACAAACTCTTGTTTCTCGGGGCGGATCTAGGGCTTTTTCGCTGGTGTGAAAATAGCTCCAAAGGGTAGACCCTTTGAGTGGCGAGGGGTTCGAACATCTGAAGAAGCTCCTGGTTTTTTCTCTAGACAGATTTCGTCTTTTCAAACAATCATTTTTTACAGAACTTTTCCCCAACATTCTGAAGACTTTTGCCATTCTGCGCTCAAACTTTTGTTACTGTGACAGTTTTTTTAGCGTTATTTGGGTTTTAAAAATGCAATTTCGGGTTAATTAGTTCGCGCAAAAGTTCCAATTTTCTATTGGTGCCTAGCGTCTGGGCGATTTAATCCAGCTCAGAAACTTGCATTGAAATGAGTTAATGGATCCAAATATTTGGATGAAAAGAAGCACTAACTCATTATTTACATTTTTTAATCAAAATTTTAACCAATTTATTCAAAAGAGTAGAGAGTGGGGAGAGGGAGAGTGGGCGACTTCTCATTTTGGCCCGAACACCTCACTACCAAAAAAATCAACCTCTAGATGAACCTCCCTAAAAGTTTTCTAAGGACCATTGTATTAATTTTGAGGGGAAGCGCTTGTCGACAAAACGACATTTCTTGGTCAAAAGTGCCAAAAAACGTCGTTTTGACTTGTTTGTTTTTAGAATATTCATTAAAAAATAGGTTTTCGAAGTGTTATGGGTGAGCTCGGAAAAATCATTTTGGTTGATCAAAAAATGTTTTTTTTTTGAAAATTCATCATGGACCTCATAAAATTCACTGTGGACCTCCTAAACTTTCAAAACTTTTGATTCCACTGTTCATCTTTGCAAAAAATCCTTGATCTAAATTTTAATTCTTGGTGTGAAATTTTGAAAACTGGGTTAGCTGGTTACTGTGCAAGTAGCACAGAATGTTCCGACCAAAATCTAAAAAAAAAACAGAACTTTTTTTTCAAATTAGGGTCATTTTTTTCGGCGTGGTGTGACAAAAAGATCTGAACGAAAAATTTGGTCTTATGAATATTCGACAGTCATAATAAAATAAGCAAAAATTGTAGAAAAAGTTCCAAAAAAACTTTAATTTTTTGAAGTTTTTGTTTTGCAAATGGCGCTAAAACACACCAATAACATTTTTAATTGAAAAAAAACTAAATTTTTACGGCCTGAATTAAGCAAAAATAAACTATTGTAAGCCTGCTTACTCGAATAATTTGCTCAATTTTAGACTAAAATCAAAAATTTTAAACATGTTTTTCTCAATACTGCGACAACTTCTCAGAAAAATTTTAAAGTCATTCGAATCACGACTGAAACGGTTTGACATGATATATCACTCCCATTCCCATAATCATTTGTACGACCTGATTTTGCGTGGAAAACGAAACTAAAAAAAAAGAAAACAACTAAAGCACACCCGAATACAAAGTTCCTCTCCATTTTTCTAATGGTCGCAACTATTATTTTTTTTAATGGTCGGAACTATTATTGTTTAAAGGGCCGCCGTAAACTTCAGAGCTGATAACTCTTGTCTTGTTTTCTTTCGTTAAAAGTTTTCTGATCTGTTGCTGCTCGTAAAATATTTCATTTAAGCTTTAAAATGGGGTCTTTTCGTTTATAGCCCAATTTAATTTTGAAAAAGGAAAATTATACTTTTTATTGCAAAATTATGATCAATATTACAGTAAAACGCAAGGTTTATATCCATTTGGCCTCGAATGAATTTATAAAACTGCAAAAAGGAGAATTAAAAGGTCATTCAGAACTCATTTGGACTCAATTTTATGATATTTACGAGAAGAAAACGTCAAAAAAGAGAAAGAGACTTTTTTGAGGCTAAGTTAGATGACAACAGTTCGTTTCGACCTGCGCCAAGTTAATAGCCAGCTCGTGTTAGTAATATTGATCAATTTTGCAACAAAAATTTTAATTTCGACTTTTCATCATTTAAGGTGGCGGGGGTTATAACCGAAAAGACCCCTAAAATGAACTAGGTAAATCCATTGTCACAGAGCTCAACGATTTTCTTGAACTTATGAGCTTTAGTTGCCTGGTTTAATTGAAAACTGTCAAGTTCCTTTAATAAGACTGTAACCGCTATAAAATATCCTCGAGCTTCTCCGTAGATTGATCCATGAATTAATACATTAGCAGAATTGACATTTTCTTTATTCTTTTATAGTTTTCACAAATGTTCTTTCCGTAGGGGGTTAAGAGAGACAGCTTCTAAAGAAAGAGAACGAAATTTGTCTCTTAAGGACTACTAAGTAAGAGGTCACATGACCTCATAAACTCTTTCGATTTCTGAATCAACTGTAGATATGTTTTCTCAAATGTAGGTATGTAGTTTTTTTTTAAAGTGACCAGGGGCGGATCTAGGATTTTATCAAGGAGGGGGGGGCTCGGATTTTCAAAGGGGGGGGGGGGGGGCTCGGACTTTTTTTAGATCGACCAAATTGATTTTCCGAGCTCTCTCTCAAAGCTTTTAAAAGGCCCTGTTTTGGTCAAAACTTGAGCGCCTCAGGCAAAATTTTGAAAAAACAGGCCAAAAAAAGCATTTTTAGGCACTTTTTGGAAAAATTTGACCAAAAAATCGCGTTTTTTCGGCGCGAGCTCCCATTTCAAAATTAGTATATACTGGCGCCAAAGGCGCCTTTAGAAAAATTTTAGGTTCCGTCATCAAAAATGGATATCTCAAAATAGTACAAAGAAGGATCCTTTGGGTCAGTAGGGTGGTCAAATCCCTGATAGGAAAAGGCGTCCGCCCTCTCCCCCCACTCCCCAAATCCGCCCCTGTAAGTGACTGAGAATTGCTTAATCATGTGCAAAATACTCATCATTTTTGATGTCTTATAAACTGCTAAACACTAATAAACTGCTGAAACTTGATGTCTTCTTAACGTTTCTAAAGAATGAAATAAATAAATAAATAAATAAACAAAGAAAGGTGGAAGAAAGAATAAATGAAAAATAGTTGAAGAAAATAATACGATATTTCATGAAATTCCTAAACTGTTTAACACCCAACTCTTAGATGATAGAGTAAAGAATCAACCTTGGGATCTACGAAGTGATTCAACCTGTGAAGTGAATAATTTTATTCATCAATTTGTAGGACCATTCTCAGACCAGAACTTTTCTCAGTATAATTTTGAGCCAACAAACCGATTATTTTTATTTGTTATAATTTAATTCAGGGTGAACTCAGCCAATCTTCGGCTGGATCCCGACGCAACTCGGCAGTCGGACCGACTTTTAACTCGGGATCAACAGGACTCCTCGGAGGTCTCTCGTCGGCACTCGCCACCGGATCCACCTCCAACCAGCAGACCAAAAGCAGTGAACCTGCGTTGGGCTTCCTGCCGTCAATAGGCATCGGAGGGGGAGGGGGCGGAGGGAAGAAGGGGGGCAATGAGGGGGGCAAGGGTATGTTTTCATCGTGGATGACGGGCAGTAAAACACAGTCCAATGCATCTCAAAATCTACAGGTTCGTTTCGTGTCAGTGATTCCTAATTTAACTACTTAATTATGTTTGAATACCTGCTAACTTGTTTTATCTATTTTAATCCTATCCAACTTTTATCTATATTTTTCTTTTTTTTTGTCAAAGCAAAGTAGTGGGATTTAGGATGAATTGTAATTTTTCCTAAATTTTTAATGTATAGCCCTGAGATTTTAGGATGTTTAGAGTTTTTTATTCATTTTTCCCTCTTTGAGTGCTCATTCAAATGAATGAGGTGCATTTTAATGAATGTTGTGTTATCAACAGTAGCCACGATAGTACGTGACATGCACTCCTTTTCATGACAGTGTCTCAAGGCTACAGTCCCAAAAAGGGTTGATAAGTCTGAAATTGCTTGAACAAAATTAGTTAGAGGGTTGTGTTTATTTTCAAGTAAAATAATCAGTCTAAGAAATGACGTTCGTAGCGAATTTTAATTATTTTTATCTCAAAGCAAAAACCCAATCTTGATCATATGTGTTTTTAAAGTATGTATATCGAATTGCAAGAAGCGCCACAAGCATGAAGGGAAAGGAACATGAGTAAATTATTCAAAAAACGAAAATGTATACACGCCAATTTAAAAAAAACCTATCTAATCAAAGTTTGGGTGATCTTAAGTGATCGGATTTGTCAATTAGTTAAGACTGAGACACCAAATTAATAGGATAAAAAATTTTGTGTCCCTCTACAAAGTCGAACTCCAGCTCTTATTGCTTTGACCTTTGACATGGGTAGCAGTTCCGGTAACCTTTCATGTCAAGTTTCTGAGATATTTGTCATGTTTTTGGACTCTTTTGAGACGCTCCTGGCAAAATTGCGACACTACTTATCGATCATAGAACCTGCTCATTTGAGAAGGTGCTTAGTGAGCTTACCCGAAATGAACTTAAATGCATCTCTACTTGATACCAAAAAAGCCAATTAGCCCTAAGCTACAGTGGGGTATAAATTCGTTTTCACATCGATTTTTGCTCCTCTGTATCTCCCTAGAATATCTTAGCTTCAAAAAATGACCCTCAGGTCTCAAAAAAGGATGGATTTAAGAGGCTTATAAAAGATTTATCTTGTCAAGGAACAGGATTTCGCTAGTTCAAAAAAGACAAGAATCTAGCTCTAAGACATTTGATATGGTTAGTAAGACATGAAAAATTTCTGAACTTTATGAATAATCTAAGAAATTGATCTAATTTAGCTCAATTTTACGGAAACCTAAATTTTTTCGCATCGCGAATTAAAAATGAAAAACGATTCGAAGTAGATGGGGATGAAATGAAATTTTGCACAGTTGGAACCAAAATAATCCCCATTTTTTAAGCTATTTTTTATACCAATTTTAATCCAATCAGCCTTGAAATGAATCACCTCTGGCACATACCAATAGGCATCAATATTTTGAGTGGAAAACACATTTTTGTCAAAAGTTTCAAAAAAGGCCCAAAAACCTTAATTTGGCATGTTTTGTTATACGTCAATTGGCAACGCTGAATTTCTTGCCAATTTTTTTGATCTAATAGTTGTTACCTTCCGTACACTGCCTGAGGTTCCAAATGCAGGCAGACTGCAGACAATTTAATCTGTGTGATCTTATCTACATCGAAGACACACTTACCAACAGTCTACTAGTGTGCCTCCCGCTTTCCTCGCCTTCATCTATATACGCACAGTAAAATCAAGGTTATAATTCAATCCTTTTCAATCCAGCTATTCTGAACTATAAATTCACGCTTCGCTGATTATTGTTGATCGATGCTTGTAATCTCTTGGTTTTTGCTAATCCTTATGGCTCGTCTGTTGGGGCTGAAAAAGTGTAAATCCCACATTTTGTACAGTTATGGGGCAGAAAATTGCGAGTTTTTGTTTTTCAACGTGCAACTGAACGACTTTTTTTTGCATTTTTTCGTTTTCTTTTCAACTTTTTGATCTACATGGTTCAAATTCTCGCACATGATTGATGCAACTATTTCTAAAATCTGGTTCAAAAACTTGACAAAAGTTTTGGGGGCTTTGGTTCGAATGTCGATCATATCTCAATAGGTGCTTTTTTGGGATAACTTTAACCATTACCCCCCTATGGTACCCAGTAACAAATCTCCTCCTATAGAGAAATAATTTAACGAATAAGCATGAGATTTTGAACCTAGTAACGAGATTTTGAACCCTATGTAGTGCAAAACAACAGAGCGCTGATGATCAAAACAATTTCAAGCTAGTTTTTGAAGAGAAAACTTTTTCGGTTGATGCATAAAGGCAAACCGACAATTCGCCGATATCAATAAAGGGTCGAAAGCAACGATTGGCAGTCTATAGAAAAAACGAATTTTTTTAGAGTCAGTGACAGTTTGTAGCAAGGTATTGACAAGCAGTTGATCGCTAGGCTTCGCTGTGTTTACATTCGGCAGGCAAACAATAAGAGCATTGTTGTTCCGACTTTCGATACGAAAGTAACGGAAAATTTGTGCTCGGGGTGGGTTTTTTTTTCTTCAGACAAAATTCGACTTTTTAACTAGCCATTTTTGACAAAAATTTTTAAATATCACTCGAAAGCTCTTGTTGTTCCTTGCTTAAATTTGAAAATATTTTTCACCTGTGACCATTTTCGTAAAGTTATGGGGGTTTAAAGATTGCGATTTTGGCCAATTTGGGACAATTAATGCGCGATATATTTTGCGCTATTAACGCGTAAGCTGAGATTTAATCCGTCTTTTAAATCGTTCCAAATTGGTTGAAGAAGCTTATTTGCCATAATTGATTTGTTACAAGGAGCAAAATCTATCCTTTTGTACTTTATATGGCGAGTGGGGTGATGTTTTTCATAAAAAAATTCAAATTTTAGAGAAAAAAAAAATCATTTTTTTATTACATTTAATTTTTTTTGTTATTACTGCTCCATAAACCTCAAAAGGCAGTCGGAACATTCAGGGCTTCACCCTGATACGAGCAGTCCTATTCAATGTTTGTATCTATTTCTAAATATAAGAGTGGGATTCTGTTCTGATTTATGAAACGGTGCGACTTGTCGCGAAATTAAAAACTTTTTGTCGAAAAAACTTTCAAAAATATGATGCATGAAACAAAAAAAAATTCTTTGTATAAAACATACATCAATTTGGGCAGATGGAAAAGCATCATATATTTTTTTGTATTTTGAATGTGAGCTTCGAAGTTTTCTCAAGAGAATACGTTCTGATTCTGATTGAAATCATTTAAAATTTCATTGCACAAGTAGTTTTACGCTAGTCATTTAAATTACTGAGAAAAAAATCATTTACAATAAAATTTTAAACCTGTTTTTTTTTCGTACAAGTTGACTTTTGAGCAAAAAGTAAAAAAAGACAGAATAAGCTTCAAGTTTTTTAAAATTGAAATGTTTTAAGGTCGTTTTTGAATTTCATATTATAGTTTTTATCCTCAATTGAGTAGTTTTCAGGTCCATTTAGTTTTGTTTAGTTCGAGCGAAAATGTCTTTAAAAGAAAATTTATCATTCAGGTAGAAAAAAACTTCCTTCTTCTCTTTTTAAGTAGGTTTTATGCAACTATTAGGTAAGAAAAAACTATTAAGAGCTCCCCTGACAAAAAGTTAAAATTCAAAATAAAGAAAGTTATCTATCTGCAAAAATGGGCTTTCTCTTTAGTTGTTTTTCCATTTTTTGAAGACACTTTATTCACTCATGCTCAACTCACTATCACTTCAAGCGTTCGTACAAAATTTTTTGCACCCCGCAAAAGAAAGTATCTACTCTATTATACTTGTGCAGCAACTGGTTAAGCTGGTTTCGATGCATATATAGTTAAATAATCGAAATCCTAAGCTCGAATCAACCTGTTTTAGGACGCAAATTAGGATCTAATGAAACACATCATGTAGTACCACTTTAGATAAATTTCAGTTTCTGGTCTCATTTCCTTTAATCTAAAATGAAAACAATTTGCCAAAAATTAGCTAAAACTCCTATATTATTTTGTTTTGTCCGTATAACAACGTAAGTCAACATTAAAATTTGAATGAAGCAATGGTAGCAATTGATCTTTTGTGTCTTCGTAAAAACAATTTAAAAGACTTTCTTTTTTCACTTGTTTTTATTAAATTGAATTGTGTTTTGTTCATCCGTGTATTGCGGTTTATCAAATGTTCTCAACATTTTCTCTCCAAACAAGTTATATGATTCGCATGAAACGAAGAAAGCTTTAAATTCTCAACTGTTTCATCTCTAGTGGGAAAGGTCTTAATAAAAACTAGACTTTTATCAGAAATTCGTTAAAAGCAATTTGTTTTGTGAAATTTGGACGCAATAGTTTTATCTTTTCATCTTTTTGTTCAAAATTAGGGCGAAAAACAGAGTTAGGGCAAAAATCATCCAAAATTATTATTTTAACATCTATTTATGGCAAATTTTGCTGCCTATTGTAAAAAAATTGACTTCAATAACTTCGTATGAGTGAAATGAGATATGATTCATTAGAAAACGTGTTTTCAAAACAAGTTCTGGATTGTTAGATTTTTTTTAACATTTGCCTTAAGGGCACTGCATATATCTATCCGATCCTTCAGAATGCATTTTATGTGCTGTAGAGCTTTCTACACATGCAAAGCATAGTGTGGTAATACGAAGCATTTTTCCCACTTAAGTTCCAAATAAAAATGCTACTTTTGATGGCACTTGTGAACAGTAAGTCATGCAAAGCATAGTGTGGTAATACGAAGCATTTTTTCCACTTAAGTTCCAAATAAAAATGCTACTTTTGATGGCACTTGTGAACAGTAAGTCCTTTCCAAAAATTTTCCAACTCTGTATGTTTTGCAAAAATTTTGAAATGCATAATTCATACAAAGTTTGGCATTGCTAGGTTAATGCATGCAAGTTTGTGTGGTTGCAATTAGTTTACTACATTCCAATCAATACATGCAAAATTTGTCTTTTTGTGACAACTTCCGAGTCTTTTGACGCTTTCTTGCTTGTGTTTTCTCGCTTGTGTCATGCTAT